TTGAAAGTTTAAAATGAAATAATATATATATATATATATATATATATATATATATATATAATATACGCAATTGAATTACAAATTGTTTAATAGAATTGTTCCTACAAATGAACGACATTGTAAATGTAATATCAAAAACGTTAGCAATTGTTACATTTGCTAACGTTTTTGATATTACATTGTAAATGTAATATCAAAAACGTTAGCAAATGTAACAATTGCGATGCCATAGATGATGAAAAACATGAGTTTTTTTAATGCAAACAAAATGAAGTGTTATGGAAAAAATTGATGAGCTCTTTAAAAAATGACAACAATTACGGCTTACTCAATATATAAAATAAAGTTATTTACCGAGTTAAAGAAAGCCAATTTGTACTATTCCATGGGTAACATTTAAGCTCATAGTAAAGAATTTAAATACAATAGGTGAGTTTTACTACTACGACTACTACTACTACTACTACTACTACTACTACTACTACTACTACTACTACTACTACTACTACTACTACTACTACTACTACTACTACTACTACTAATACTACTACTACTACTACTGCTACCGCTACCGCTACCGCTACCGCTGCCGCTGCTGCTGCTGCTGCTGCTGCTACTGCTACTGCTACTGCTGCTGCTGCTACTACTACTACTACTACTATTCCTACCACAACTACTAATAGGACCACCACCACAATAATATAAAAGCATAATCTTAAATAAATTAATTAAATCTACTAATTAAATAATTGTTGAGCTGTTTGATATTTTTTTTGTCAAAATGATACTTATCCGACACAACAGAGCTGATAATAAGCAATGAATTAACGAAAACTATACTCAAAATTTCCCACATTGCATGCTGTTTGGTTGTTACAACTATAATTGTAGATCTCTAAGTTTGATTTGAGTTAGTGTTACTGACTTATAGAGTAGAGGAACCACTGATTATTATTAATTATTTGATTCAATTGAATCGATATTACTGACGTTGAATATAAGCACACAAAAGTGGGAAGCACTAACATTAAACTGCGTAAAGCAACATATAAATATTTAACTAACGATTGTGACTTTTAAAAGTAATTGATATTAGGTATACAAAAAAAAACACCAAAAAATAAAAGTGATACTTTATCTATTGTAAAAAATGATGGCGCTGTTCATGTTTATATGGAAATACCAAGTTCCACGTTATCCTATTTCCATTGTATAGCGTCAACGTGGCCACACGTAGCATTATGCTTTGTAGCATAATTTAGACCCCTGTAGCATTTGGCATTTGTGCTACGCATAATTTCACTAAGCGTAGCATAATGTAACATAATTTAGGTTGACATTGAAAATTCTTTTTAATAAAATTAGAAAAAAAAATAAAAGAACAAAGGTTGCTTTGTTTTACCACTCAATATATACGACAGAAATGGGTATGATATTATTGACATAACGTTTTTTTTTTTGCGCCGCTTGCAGTCGGGGCGTACTATTGTATTAAGTGTTGCAAGATCATAGATTTATTAAACAACTAGAGTGCTGACAAGATGGCGCAGCAATGCAGAGTTATGTATGTGTACCATCCAAGATGGCCGTCGTAGTAAAGCGCCACTTTCAGGCTTAGTATACATATTATTACATATTAATAAGCCCTCTGACTGACTATTATCTCATTAATGATAATGAGTAATGGTAATAACAAAATTATTAAACTATTGTAGCCAAAACGAGGCCAAGTGGAGCATTACATAGTAATTTATCCTTGAACAATACATTACATTTAAATAAAAATGTAACAACGTTAACGAATCAATAATAATAATTAAAACGTGTACATAGCATCAGTACAACAATAATGAGATTAATATTATTTTTTTCAATCTTATAATCCATTTCATATAGCCGGAACTCACCAACATTTTTAACAATATCATTTTATAATGTATTTTATTCCATTGTGAACATACACCGGCCGTTTTTATCAGCCACACTCACTTAAGTGGTACGTTCCACTTACCACATACTGAATACTCTGCTGTAAGGTACTGGGGTGGGTCCACATATTTTCATGAGGGGTGTAAAAAGAAGGGAATTAAAACGCATTGGAGAACTGTCTTCTGTTTTGTCACCAACCATTCTTTCGAAAGACTTAAAAAGCCCACAATAATATCAGCCTTAAATTGTTTTTCATAAATGTCCCCACCTCTAAAGAAAAAAAAAAGATGCTTACTATTTACCTAACATCTGTACATTTTTTTTTTGCTAACTAAAATTTAAAAACATGTTAAGGGTTGTGGGTGGGATGCCAATCGCAAAAAAATAATAATCATAGTAATAATAATAATGATGATGATTTCAGGACTTCTGTTTTTTTTTTTTAACTTATTTGTTAATAATAGTCGGAATATTAAGAGTCCTAAAGCTATCATATCCCTGTATCGTACCTTAGTTTCCTCACATTTAGGGTATTGTTGCGTTATTTTTAGTTCGGCCTCCAATTCTCAATTAAATCTTATTGACATTTTTTTTCCTTTAAGTGTAACAGATTCTTTGTCAACTGTTTTGGGTACTCCTGTGATCTCTTGCCGCCTAGTGATATATATTTTCTGTTAGATATGTTATTTTTGTTTAGCTGTGTTAATTCACACTATAGTTCTAATTTTGTTCGCCTGTCTTCATGTAAATTGTCGAGTGTTACGGTCTTTGCACGTTTTTGATGTTCTTTTCAGTCGTGTTTGTGTTTTTAAACGGAGTTTTATCTCTAGGTTACCTTCTTCTTACAATCGTATTGTTTCTGAAAATAGTAACATTGATATCTTTTTATAACAGTCTTAAACATTTCCATTAATTTTTTCATCATCAGGAATAATCTAAAAGTCCCCAATTCTTAAAATTTTCTCACCTCAGCCTCATCCATGATGAATGAGGCTCAGGTGGATATAGTCATTTTTGTAGTTTTTATGTATTAAAGTGCCATTTTCCGGCATCTAAAAATCTCAAATTCTTACAATTGTCTTGCCTCAGCCTCAACAATGATGGGCTGATGTGGATGGATTGGTAGTTTTCATAAATTTTAAGTATTCAAGTGCAGTTTTCGGGCATCTAAAGTCTCAAATCGTCAACATTTATTCATCTGCCTCCCAAAACCATGGTGGGGCTCAGGTAGGTATCGTAGATTTTGTACAATTCAAGTGCTATTTTTGGACATTTATACGAGTCTCAGATTTTT